TCGAACTAGTTTCAACCAACAACCAACAGGAATAAAATGACTTAAATTTGGGAGCTCACAGCCATGTTTTTAGTGGTCCTCCAAAAACCTTCAAATCTTGTACCAACTGACTCCATTTTTGGAAGTTAGGTGTTGGACCACCGTCATATATGGTGGTTGGATAGAACAGGTTAAAAAAAAAAAGAATTAGACATTTGTCTTATTTTTTTTCTTTTCAAATTTGGTTAAAACTTTAAGGGTGACTATTACGTCGTGTCGAATCGTGTTTGTGTCGTGTCATCTCGGGTTCATGTTGAACACTACTCAATCCTAATTCAACTCGTTTATTTAATTGTGTCGTGTCGTGTTGATCTATTTATTTTCGTGTCGTATTCATGTTGATCCATTTAATCCATTAATAAAAGAATTAACACTCAATTTTATATCTAAAATTTCATCATCACTTAATCGAACTTATATTGATACTTTTTTCTATAAACTAAAAATGAATAAAAATATCTTTTTTTTACAAGAATTAGGCCACTACTTAATAAAATATAATAAAAAAATTGACATTTTATTCTTATAATAACGCGTTAATCGTGTCGTATTGTATCGACCTAATTATTTTCATTTTGTGTCTGTGTTGACCCATATAATCCGTTAATAAAAAATTTAACGCTCAATTTTATGTTTAAAATTTTATTATCACTTAATTGAACCTATACTCATTTTTTTTTTATAAATTAAAAACTAGCTTAATAAATATAATAATAAAAATGAGTAAAAACATCTTTTTTGTATAAAAATTAGGTCACTATTCGATAAAATATAATAAAAAATTAATATGTTATTCTTATAATACTACTTAAACGTGTTAATCGTTTCAATTTTGTGTTGTTCATATTAAACACTAACCTAACTCATTTATTATTTATGATAAAATGTCATGTCATATATAGTTTTGTGTTGAAAAAAGACTAACTTTAACCCACTAATTTCGATGAGTTGCTACTTAGATTAGTGAGTTCAATTGAGTATTTGTGAATAATGGAAGGCACAGAGTATAAGTAGTTCACCTTAGCTGAAAGACTGAAACAATGTCTATTGTAATGGAATCTCTTACTCCTTAAGGTTGTATATTGAGATCAGGTGAGTATATTATGTTGTTGGCACTGAGCCTTTACAAGGGCTTATGCTTAGTTCTTTATGTATCTAGAGTTGAGAAATACAGTGGGGAAGATCTCTTCCTGATAGGTTGACATTGTTCTATTTATATCAGTCATTCTTTCTAGGGTTTTCGGTAATTCCTTCTACATTTCTGTTGATTCTGTGGGGTCCCCCGTCACTGCCCTGCAACAGTCACTGTTGTTCAGCGCTCCTATGCCCACGATCTCTGAATCGTTATAAACACCACCACTCTCTGTGTTTGAGAGGGTGCAGTTGTCACAGGCATCAAAGATGGTCTCCCTGTCCTTTGGACACGTGGCATGGTGGGGGTGCTCCCAGGGCAAGAACTTGGCTTCTCAGTACTGAGTTATCCTTTAGCTAGTCGTTGAGTTGGGTCTGGGCTGCGTTGCTGGTTCTCTGGTGTCGTTGAACTTTCTCCTTTTTGCCCTTTCTACTCTTTGACATGGGTTGATTGGGAATTCTCCCTTTGGGTTAATAAATAAGCGAGGATCTTCTGGACTTATTGGGCTCCAGGGTTATAGCGATCCATGCCTAAAATTCTGCCCTTATCAGGTTTCATATTGTATCAAAAATTATCACTCATAACTAAAACAAATGCAATGTATAGTTGGATTAGAAATTATTTGCCTAACCCAAATATGCATTCTAAATGAACAGGAACTAATGAATGAGTGCGTCTCATTAATTTTTTAAAATGAGAATCACCGATCCAATAATCTTTATTGATTTAAGTGAAAAATTTGAATTACATAACATTGTTATCCTTTTTAGTTTGTAAATAAATTGGTCCCATGGTTGAATTAAAGCCAACCCCTCAAACCGACCGCCTCATGCCGTCGGTCATTAATGGCTATTATTATTATTATTATTTATTTATTTATGCAGTGTTGACGACAGGGTAAGGAGTGAACACCGACGTGCGACTGCGTATGAATTCTATAGTACATTAATGGTCACGATGAATTCTTCTACGTTCTTCATTTGAATATATGTTTTGACACATTTGAAAAAGAATGGTGTTGTTTTGAATCAATAGACACCTAAATATTATATTTTATCAATTTGATGTAAAACTACGGTTAAATTAGTTTTAACAGCTTCGTGTTGTACCTGAGTTGACCCATCAATTTTGTTTAATAAATCATCGACCCGACCCAATTTTTTGAGAACTAAAAAGTTAAATTTTTGAATAAATTTTTAAAAAATTGTTTTTAGTTATTGAGGAATTTAACGGTGCTTAAAAATAACACATGATAGAATCTAATTGGAGGGGAGGTTTAGGATTCGAATTAAAAAACTCAAAATTCCAAGAATTTAGCAAATATGAAGGAAAAGTTTTTCAAATCCTCCCCTATCAATTGTTATATATATATATATATATATATATATGAACTCGTCCCAACATGCAAGATTCATCGTCAATAGAAGTGGCAACTCTGGCCCGATAATACGAACTCGATAAGAATAATTATAAAATTAATATTATTATTAAATACGTATAATAAATAATTTAGATTAATCATAATACACTAAATAAATTTTTTTTTTTGTGAATCTTGACACGAACACACACGAAAATATACGAGACGTGAGTTATACGATACAACACGATTAACACCCCTAATTGTCAACTTTAGTTTTAGGTAAAATTTGGCAACTCAATTTTTTTTTTTTTAAATTCAACGATTAAGAATATTCTGATCAATTTATAAGCACCTCAATTATCCTCCTTTCCAAACCGATCAAAGATAAATTATCCAAGACAGGGTTATCTCTTTACAACTCATTTTCAAGCACGCCCAACAATTGACTGTGGGTTATCTCCTAAAAAGATTAAATGCATGTAAAAAGTCCGACTTCTGGTTAGGAAGACTTGGGTGACAATTGTAAAAAAGTCCTACATTTTAGGAAAATTACACTCACACTTATTTTAATTTATTATATCTTTAAGAACACCGTTTTTATTTTTTGAATCTTCATTAGCACCCCTATCGGATTAAAGGCTTTAACAAAAATAGAATTTTACTCTATTACCCATGATATATTTAAAAAAAAACTTTATCTACACCCTTTCTAAATAGACATATCTTCGATGACACCCCATCTATTTTATAAATTTTTTTACGTATTAAAATTCATTTTTAATCGGCTTGAATTTTGATATGTAAAAAAAATAAATTTTAATTGACTCAAATTTTAATAATTAAAAATTAAATTTTAATCAACTTAAATCGTATTTTAATTTACACAAATTCAAATTTTAATCGGTGCTAACGGCTCAACTTGATCTCAAATCGACTTGAATTTAATAAGTAAAAAAAAACGAATTTTAATAGACTCAAATTTTAATATGTAAAAAAAAAAAAAATTAAATCAGCTCGAATCGAATTTTAATCAACTTTAATTTTGATATGTCGAAAAACGAATTTTAATCAATTTAAATTTTAATATATATAAAAATAAATCTTAATCGGCTCAAATTTTAATCGAATTTTATGTAAAAAAATTGTTTGGGGTTTATGTAAGGGCAATTTTGATATTTCAAACAAATATTTTTGTTAAAAATGGTGGTTTAACGGGTAGGGGTGTTAGTGATGTTTAAAAACTAGAAAGAGCGTTAGTGATATTTGGATAATAGAGAAAGTATTATTGAAGATATGATAAATTAGAAAGTGTATGATTGAAATTTTCTCTAATTTTTTTTTCTGTAAATTTTCTTTTATCAGCTTTTTTTTTTAACTACCAATCTAGATAGTAGCAAATATTATTGGTAATAAATTCTAATTTTATAAATTAACATCTAAGTAAATATGTTTTCTTTAGTGTGTAAGGTTGTATCAAAGTCTTGATAGAACTAGATATCCGATCTCTTAATAGGCAAAAGTTTAGGCCACGTTTCACAATTTTAGTACCGGTATTGTTCTCAATACCACTCTTTTTTTCATCCCCATTGCTCAGCTCTTACTTTGGTTTGAAACACACTTAAATTTATTGATTTAATTGTTCGTAATTATTGAATTGACAGTGAATCTTAGTATTTGTTGGGTCTTACGACTAATCCGGTGGTTATGATGAATTAGCTCAGTAAATTAAGTTCAAATACCATTATATTTTATGTTTGTCACAAACTTCAATAGTACAAGGTATTATTTCTTAAAAAATAAAAACCCAAAAACAATGATAAGGCCATGAATACATTATATTTTGATCTCAATTTTGATTCAAGTCGAAGTTTGATTATTGAATATAGATTTCTGTTTTGATTGATTATTCAAATTCAATCCCGTTACGGAATATTTCATGAATTTGAATTAATATATATCATCCAGTTCGACTTATATGTAAATATACACGGATATGTAAAACAAAATTTAGTGGTTATTTGATAAATTAAATTACAATTTAGATGTGATTATCTATGATTCAACACTAAGTTTTTTTTTGGGGGGGGAGGGGGAGGGAAGAGTGTGTGTGTGTGTGTTTTCATCTTTTTTTAAACTTCAGGATGACAATAAAAGTTCCTTATTTAGGTCATCAATTAAGCAGGTGTATCATACAAAAAACTAGGTGGTAATTTAGAATAGTTGTAATATTAGTCAAAAAAAAAATTCGAGAATTATGTGTGTTAATGTATACATGTTTGTCTCACGTCGATTAGATTAGAAAATTTCACTACTCTCTTGTACTATAAATAAATTTTCTCATATATAGAATAAATCACACCAAAACAATATACAATTGATATTTGTTTCTATTCTCTTATGTCACACGGTACAAGAGCTTAGGCTCGTGAATTCTTTTAGTCAAAGATACTATGCTTTATAGTTGCTCTACGAGGGATCCTCCTCATAAAAAATCTTGAGGCTCTTCCTCTCTTCCGGATACTCTCCGGTCATCCTTGGGCGACCCTCAGGCCATTTTCCAGTCATCTTCCCAGTGACTTTCTGGTCATCCTCCGATGACATTCCAATCATTTCCCATTTGTCCTTCAGCGATCTTCTTGACGATCTCCAACCATTAAGATCCACCATGGCTCTATCAAATGTCTCCCAGCCAATTTCCATCATTCCTGAAGGCTCCAACTGTATCGTTTGACTCCATGTATGACCAGTTTTCTCAAAGGACGTAAACTCTAGCGTTATGTCATTGGTGATACCAAGGAACCTTTTAAAATTATGATCGAACTTCCTGACAGATACGTTGAGTGTCTTGAAGAATGGAAAAACAAGAATCATCAAATTATCACTTGGTTTCGGAACACCTCAACACCATCCATTAGTGATGTTTGGTCGTTTTAACAATGCTACAACCAGTGGCGACTTCCTTTCCAACGTTACACAACAACAAATCTCACTTATTAGTACCAGTTTCTTAGTACTCTTCAGAGCTTGCGTCAAGATCCTGATCAATCAATCAATAGCTTTGTATCACAAATATATACTATTTGGGATCAGCTAACACCATTTGAACCTAAATGGAAATGTACCGAGGTCTTGGAAAAGTTTACTACTCATCGTGTATGACACCATCTGGGATCAGTTTACCACTATTTGGGATTAGTACGAGACCATTTGAGCCTAAGTGGAAATATACTTGAAGGCTGCTCTTACTACCGTCTATACCATCATTCATATTCCCTCTTATATTATTGAAAATCAATCTCCACGAGTGGTTGTATGAAACTTTCCCTAATTACCACTCTTTTCGAGTCTTTGGTTGTACATATTTTGTCTTACTTTAGCCTCATGAGCATACCAAGTTATAATCTCAAGAACGTCTTTGTTGTTTCTTGGGTTATGGGATTGAGCATAAGGGTTATCATTGTTGGGACCCATATTCCAAGTGTCTTTGTGTTTCTCTACATGTTGTCTTCTGGGAATACAAAATGTTCTCCTTCTTGTCTCGGTTTTAGTTTTCATCTACCCCTACTTCTCTTTTTACTAATCCATCTATAGATCGATATCTTGATGACCCATATCCGGACTCATCAGAGCTCCCATCTATGGACCATCCAAAGGCTTCTGTCTTGCTTGTTGATCCTGCTTCTAACCCACTACACATTGATAGTGATTTTGCCTTCGTTAATAAACCCCCCACACCACTTCTTACTATTGCTCAGCCTCTTGCTCACTCACAACGTCATTCCATTCGGATAAAGAACAATCGTGGTTGTTTACATGATTATCACTCTTGCTCCATTATTTCTATCTGAAAATGAGTCTCACTCTTATCGTGATGCTAGCTCTGACCTTCATTGACAGCAAGCAATGACAGAGGAATTATAGACACTAATTGACACACATACTTGAGATTCAGTTGATTTTTATTTTAACCAAAAGGCTATTGCTTGTAAATGAGTTTATAAGATCAAGACTCACTCTGATGGTTCTATTGAGTGTTACAAGGCTTGTCTAGTGGCTAAGGACTTTACACGAGTATGGTTTTGATTATGAAGAGACTTTTGCTCCCATTGCTCGTTTCACTTTAGTTGAAGCCTACTAGTGTTACAGCGACTTGCTAGTGAAAATTATATCAGATGGATGTGAAAAATGTGTTTCTCAATGATGACCTTACTGAAGAAGTCTACATACAACCTCCTCATGGCTATCCTCATTCATCACATCAGGTTTGTCGACTTTGTCATGCACTATATGGCCTAAAGAAAGCCCTTAGAGCTTGGTTTGCAAAGTTTAGTGCTACCATTGGACATTTTAGTTTCTCTTCCAGCCCTTATGATTTGACTCTCTTTGTTTGTAAGTCTGAGCGTATCACTACTCTACTATTTCTTTATGTTGAGGATATGATTATTATTAGGGATGATGTTTTTGATATTTCTGATCTCAAATATTTTCTCCACACATACTTTGAGATGAAAGATCTTGGTTCTCTCAACTACTTCTTGGGCCTTGAAATCTCGTCTGACTCTAGTGGGTGTTACCTCTCTTAGGCCAAGTATGCCACTAATCTTTTGACTTGTGATTGACTTAGGGATTGCAAGATTGTACCTACCTTATTAGAGCAAAATGTTCGACTTACTCCCTTGGATGACACACATCTCCTTGGTGCCATTCTTTATCGTCAGTTGGTAGACAGTCTTGTATATCTCACTATTACTCACCCGAATATACCCTATGTTGTTCATCTTGTCAGTCAATGTTTGGTTGTCCCTTGCTCTACTCATTTTGTCATTGTTCTTCATATTCTACGATATATTAATGGTACTATGTTTCATGGTCTTCATTACTATATTCATTCATCTCTTGAGCTACATGTCTATTCTGATGCTGGGTAGGAGATCCTACTTATCATTGTTCTAGCATTGATTACTGCTTCTTTTTGGGCAATTCTCTCATCCTTTGGCACAACTATAGAGGCTTGCTAACACTACCTAGGAGCTTCTTTGGTTTTGTTGGCTATTAGAAGATTTAAGTGGCTCTCAGTCTAGTGCTACTATTCTTTGTTGTGACAATCGGAGGGCGATACAAATTTATCACAATGATGTTTTTCATGATTGTAACAAATATATTGAGATTGATTATTATTTTGTGTAACACTATGTGGTTCCAAGCACAATTCATTTTGTATTTGTCTCTTCATCTAATCAGACTTCTTCACCAAGGCAAATCTGTCATATTTGGTTTCCAAACTAAAGTTAATTTGTACTTTACCTCCTTGAGTTTGAGGGAGGATATTAATGTATATATGTTTGTTTTACATCGGTTGTATTATAAATAAATCTCTTCATGTATAGAAACCAAAGCAATCTACAATTAATATTTTCTTTTTATTCTTTTCTTTCACAATGTGAATATACTATAGAGGATGAAGTCCTAAAAGAAAAAAAAATTATATATTTATCTCTTATGAGTATCCTAATTTTGACGTAGATAATATATCTTTGATCGGACCAAGCATTGGATTTGTTAATAGAAGAGAATTAGTCAAGGTGCGTGTTGACTAACCTAGACACTCTTGATCATTAAAACGAAAAGAAAAAAAAATCCTAAAAGATATATCAAAGGGTGCAATTTACCTACTAAAAAATGATAAGTCTCCGGTACCAATTTGGTATCGTATGGAAATTTATCACTAATCATTAATAAAATATTGAAAAATAAAAAATAATTTGTTTTTATACATGTCCAAATCTTATTATACGTGTCATACTCGGACCCACAAAAAAATAGAAAGTCAATCTCTTGAGATAAATGGTGAAATGGGCCTCCAGATTTGGTTCCAACACCTGTTTGAAGAGACTTAATGTGATGTACAATTCGGGTCCATGGCCCAACCCCTGTGCGGACTCATCTCTTTCCAGGGTTGAAAGCAGCTTGACCTGTGCCATGGATAGTGCGTGAGAGAGAGAGAGAGAGAGAGAAAGAGAGCGAGAGTCCACACAACAGAGCATGGGAAGAGAAGGTAACTACTCTTTCCATTTACCCATTGTATTGGTGGTTGCCTTTTTATATTTTCACATTTGTGACTATATAATTGTTTAGGTTCTGTACATAAATTGAAGGTGCTCAGCAACTTAGGTTTTACCTTATGAGATTTTCCGTCAAATACAAACTGTTACATTCATAAATTTGACAAGAATCTTCATGTGTTCAGTTTTGATTTTTTGCTTTTCTGCACATACATGAGCTTCGAATTAATAAAATGAATGTATGTATTTAGATATGTATGACTGTATGCATAAACTATTGAAGAAACTTGAGAAAGTTGGTATTCAAGACATGTATATACCCATCAACATATGAACTTCATTGCCGTTTACCCACTTGCTAGAGTAGTGAAATTGTGTAGAACTTGGAAATGGGTATTCAAGACTTGTTAGTATTCGCCATTTGCTTGTCAATTGCTTGAAAAAGGACCCATTACTTACTATGCTTCTTGTAAAGGTTTTGTGATGGTCGTTGACTGCATTCTGTCATTTGTTAAAGGGAAGTCGAAGTGCTTTTCTGTCAAGCAAATTTTAAGACTTTGATCTTTTTAGCTTCATTCTTGAAACTTGCTATTTAGATGATTAGCTTATGCAGGTTAGGAATTTCTGATGGTCAACTAGTGTGTACTTTGTACCTATCTAAGTTTGGAACGTTATATAACCATGTGATGATTGTGACTATAGGATTGCATGTATTAATTGTTAGTCAGTTTAAGCTGCTGGGACATAGCGGAATTAACCGCATTTTAAGTGTTTCGGATCTATTTACTTACTTTTGAAGGGCATTTTAGCATTCATTTTCACAATTACAGTGGAAAAAAAATCCATTCGATTCATATCTCCTAATGTAAGGAAAGTTCGATAGGAATTAACAAAAAATGTCGTTTATTAAGTTTACTACCACTGAATATTCAAAGTGCTTCTATGTTGATTTGTGGACAGTTTGAATCTCTGATTTCCCTACCATGTGATATCCTTTTAATCTGAGTAATGACCCCTTTGCAGAAGCCATACATCTGTGTTGAATGTGGTTATTGCATAATCATTTTCAAAAGTTTTAACTTCGAATAGATTTGGTATCTATTCTATTCAAACTAGAAATAGTATTGTTTTTTTTTTTTGGTCCGGGAAATAGTAGTGTTTGCTGTCTCTGGTATTTATGGTTTAGCCGTTTAGGAGGAGCTTGGGTGTTACTTAACTAGTTAACTTCCATTCTCTCTTGCCACTTGGCAGCATTACAAAATTCTTCATGAAAAATATATTTGCAAAGAGGAGTTGGCAAGGAGGGAAGGAGCATGCAAGCTCTCCACCAAATAAGGAAATCTTTCTTGATTTTTGGTAAATAAACTTATGTAACTGTACCACTTTACTGATCGATTGTGTATGCTCTTGTTCACTTTGCAGCTGCCATAATGCATAGAAGATGTACTCATTAGTGCTCAGTTCTTTGTGGGGTCATATGTGAGTTTTCTCACTTCCTTAGTTTTATGTCAATTACTAATTTAGGGTTTCAATCAAATAAAACAGCTTGTCTGGTGGATAATTTGTTTTCCTTAGCTTTCTGCAGCGGTACATTACTAAAAGAGTTACTGGATCATAGATTTACTTGTTTGGGGCACATAAACCAGTTTCATCATTGATTCTTATGAACTTCTCTAATTTTCTCTGCCATCAATATAGTACAGTTATTTTGATCTTCATAATTACATGAGTGTTTTATGTTCTATATAACTTTCTCTTCTTTCTTCTATTGCACTATTCTATAGAAGTTGCTTAGATTAATTTTTCAATCCGTTCCTTTTCCTACTTGTCAGGGCAATGACATGAGGGCAGTAAGCAGGATTGGTGATCGATCAACCAGTGATGTTGTTGTGAGGCTAAGAACACAAGACGGCCGTGACAATTGGGTATATTGTCATTCCCATATCCTTATAGAGAAGTGCAAGTATTTTGCTGACCGTTTATCTGAGAATTGGCCCACGTGCCAGATTCTTGACTCCCGCAATTGTGTTGAGGTCTATTGTGAAGAATCTGAATTTGACTACCATGTCACTGTTCTACGTCTCTTCTATGTTAGTATGGATGGTTCTGTGACTGACATGTGGCATGGTGTTAGAAATGCTCTTGGCATTCTTCGAGTGGCCGTCGAGCTTGGATGCTCTCCTATCATTGCTGCCTGTGTTAATTATCTGGAAGCAGTCCCTTGGGAAGAGGCCGAGGAGGAGGAGATTCNTAGCCGTTTAGGAGGAGCTTGGGTGTTACTTAACTAGTTAACTTCCATTCTCTCTTGCCACTTGGCAGCATTACAAAATTCTTCATGAAAAATATATTTGCAAAGAGGAGTTGGCAAGGAGGGAAGGAGCATGCAAGCTCTCCACCAAATAAGGAAATCTTTCTTGATTTTTGGTAAATAAACTTATGTAACTGTACCACTTTACTGATCGATTGTGTATGCTCTTGTTCACTTTGCAGCTGCCATAATGCATAGAAGATGTACTCATTAGTGCTCAGTTCTTTGTGGGGTCATATGTGAGTTTTCTCACTTCCTTAGTTTTATGTCAATTACTAATTTAGGGTTTCAATCAAATAAAACAGCTTGTCTGGTGGATAATTTGTTTTCCTTAGCTTTCTGCAGCGGTACATTACTAAAAGAGTTACTGGATCATAGATTTACTTGTTTGGGGCACATAAACCAGTTTCATCATTGATTCTTATGAACTTCTCTAATTTTCTCTGCCATCAATATAGTACAGTTATTTTGATCTTCATAATTACATGAGTGTTTTATGTTCTATATAACTTTCTCTTCTTTCTTCTATTGCACTATTCTATAGAAGTTGCTTAGATTAATTTTTCAATCCGTTCCTTTTCCTACTTGTCAGGGCAATGACATGAGGGCAGTAAGCAGGATTGGTGATCGATCAACCAGTGATGTTGTTGTGAGGCTAAGAACACAAGACGGCCGTGACAATTGGGTATATTGTCATTCCCATATCCTTATAGAGAAGTGCAAGTATTTTGCTGACCGTTTATCTGAGAATTGGCCCACGTGCCAGATTCTTGACTCCCGCAATTGTGTTGAGGTCTATTGTGAAGAATCTGAATTTGACTACCATGTCACTGTTCTACGTCTCTTCTATGTTAGTATGGATGGTTCTGTGACTGACATGTGGCATGGTGTTAGAAATGCTCTTGGCATTCTTCGAGTGGCCGTCGAGCTTGGATGCTCTCCTATCATTGCTGCCTGTGTTAATTATCTGGAAGCAGTCCCTTGGGAAGAGGCCGAGGAGGAGGAGATTCTCAAAACTATACCACGCATGGGATCACAAGCAGAAGCAATTCTTGCTCGTCTCCAGCCGGTCAATCCGACAGCCATAGTGAAGATTTTTCTCTCAGCCATCCGATTCGCCACATCATCACCCTCCATCATCATGAATGATCTGAAAACCTCAGCCCAAGAGCAACTTGAATACATGCTTACTGAAGATGATGATGTTCCCTTATTAACAGCCGATGACAAGATAAAAATAGAGGTAACAGAATGTATCAAAAGACTGTTAACCAGATTTAACAATCTAGTGGAGTCTTTGTTATGTGAGACCAAAGAATCAGTTTCTGAGGCTGGAAAGATGCAATTCTTTCAATCCTATTTAACTGATTTGTCATGGGCTTGTCAAATATTGGTTAAGTTGGAAACAATGAGGGAATTGGTTAACAGTTGGACGGAAGCATCAGAAAATATACTGAAGGTTGTTGAGCAAGCAAGTCCAAAAGCTGAAATGCTGGCGATGAAGGTGAAGGTAATTGAGGTGACAACAAAGGTTTTAGAGGCAATAGGGTATGGCACTGTCATTATACCTACTACAAAACGTTTTCACATGGTGAAGGTCTGGCTTCCATTTGTGAGGGTTATGAAGCCTTTGATTGATTCGGCCACAGCTAGTGATGAGGATGGTCTGGCACTTAAAATGGATGGTGAACTATGGCAATCGTTGGAGTCAGCATTTGTTTCAACGGTACTTGCATTGCCATCAGGGGACCAGGCAGAGATTTTGACTGAATGGTTAGCAAACGAGCACATTCGGTTCCCAGACCTGACAGAGGCATTTGAGGTATGGTGTTACAGGTCCAAGGTTGCCAAGAGAAGACTGGCATTGTTAGGTGGTACACATGGTATGGCCAATACACTGTGATTCATTTCTACATGGTTTCTTTTGCCTACTCCACTTTTGTCAATTACCCTTGCAATGCCAAACTTTCTTCTATTGCCTGGAAGCCAACGTCACCAAAAAGATGCAGGTGTCTATATTGTCCCATAGTTTTGATCCCCTTGTGTCAGTTGACGCTAATCTTGGGCCCTTGTACATATTTTGATTTTGTGGCTTGTCCAATTGTATAATATGTGAAAATGAATCTATTTCTTATCTCAGCATATATTTAATGAAACTTTATAATTTCAATCTGCTCGAATTTACTATCAAACATCTGACCTTATATAATGTTACTTTGTATGTTTAAGATGAAATATCTTACTTGAGCATATTTTACAATAACTTGATGTCAGTGCTGCTAAAGTCTTGTGCTGTCTTTCGCAACATATTCGTCTCAGCTGTTCCTCTGGTTCATCTGTTGTAAATCTCATTAAGATGAATTGGCTTAAGAACAATGGTCTGACGGGAAATATCACCACAGTAACCTTTATTGGCAGCTAAGTCTCTATGGGTATTTTTCTGTAACTTCTTGTGTGTGAGATCATTGGACAAGCAGGTTATCTCCTTTTGAGAGTGTCATGACTCGTAACCCCATTTATGGCTAGTGTTAACAATTTAGAGTTTTTGCACAGATTCTTGTCAGTCGTTTATGTTGCCTACTTGATAAGCATACTCTGCGCTACAATCTGGCTGTTTCTTTATCCAAAACCAAGTTTTTGGTTTATGCTTTCTTTTTCTGGTAATGCCTTATAGCTACTACATTTTGGGACTCTTACCATAATGAACTACTCACCGGTGGCAGCTATTTCTAATATATTCCCACTCTTAGCTTGGCTGTGCTTATATTCTTGAAATGTTATGGCTAAAGATGTGACCCAACCTTGGAAATTTCAATGGGTTTGGTGTGCTTCTTTTGAAAACTATGTTCTACGGAGTAAATGTGTAAAAAGCATATGCGGCTGTTTTATTGTGGTTTTCCCCTGAAACTGAAATATGTTATGCGCAATGGTCAAGTTCTTTGCTAGCAGGGCTTTGAGAGTCAATGTAGGAATTCAAAAAGCCAAGTCAAGCAGTGGCTTATAGAGTTATAGTGCAGAACACTAATCCTAGCTTGGAAAGTAACCAAATCCGACTTAATGCAAGCTTTTACTAAAATAAAGCAACCAACAAATTGATGGGCACATTATTACTATCAGTACTTCAGTAGCATTACCATTAGTCCCTACATTAAAATAACCTGTGCCAGTCTAGGATAAGGTCTTCACCTCAGTGGTCCTAAGCAATGAATGATCTTCACATATTCAACTACTTTTATATTCATCATTTTGGTTCCATTACTTTTTAGAATTGATCAGTGGGTCTTGCAACAATAAGATTGGGATTTGCTATCTTTGTGTTTATGCCTGTGGACTGCATTTTATTGCCTTTTCCCGCTTCTTTTGCCTGTGTAAGCTAAGCAAAGACTTTTAAAAAGGGTCATTGATATGGGATTGGGATCCCTTGTAGTACGCTTTCCCTAAACTTGTGTCATTCACCATGTATTGGTGGAAACCCACTTATATATAGTGGGTCCCACGTGAAATTATTGTGGGTGATCTATATTTGTGAAAAGTTGATTGGAGAAGATCTAGATTCATTTGTATGTATGAATGTTATACTCTGAACACGTCTATAATCCCTATGGACAATTCCTTAGTGACACTTTAGTTACTGGTTTTTCTTCCTTTTATCATGAGCATAATTATAGACATGAAAGTTTCTGTTGCTACACTAAATACTTTTAAGTAGCTTAAACATTCTGAATGTTCAAACATTAGCAAAATGTCCTAGAGAATGGAATGGTGAGCCTTTCATGACGAACCCACAGGGTTTTGCATGATATTTAAGATAAATAGCATTTTCTTTGAATGCGGATTGAGGAAATTAGAAAACAAGTTGCTATGATTTGGAATAATAGGGAACTCAAAAACACGTTTTGCGACTTTTAAGTCGATGTTATTATGAGAATGAAAACTTCTAATTTGGTCACCTTTGAACTTACGCTATTGGTTAATATATGCACAAGAAGTTTGACACTGCAATATTAGTTAATGCCTTAATGGTGAGTGAAAACAAGCATATGGATATGGTTGCTGGAAAAGGAAATGCAAAACAGTACACAAACCTTTTGGTGGAAGATCAATGTCATAAAAATAGGAGGGAAACCTGTGGAAAGCAAGATAGATAAACAGTAGTTAATGATTCTAGAGTTGAGTTTGAAGCAATTAAACTTGGATCACTAATGCATTGAGAAAATGGATTAGTGACGAGTTGCTTTGGAGTCCGTTTTCTAATCTGACCTAGGGAAAATGGATCACTAGGGCACTGAGATAAAGAGGTAGCTACTTGAGAGGATATGTGATGGTATACTGTACTGCTTACTTGCAGGCCAGGTATATGGAGAAGGTGGTAGTAATAGGAGTCATGGCCTGTTTGCTTGGTGAGGAGGCAAAAGGATGACTAGGAAAGGACTTGAACAAAGAATTTCTTCATGCTCTGTTTTCTTGCTGAGAGAAATAAATGGAGTCAGAAACATTATTACAAACACCCCAATAATAGTATTATTTCCCCTTCATAAGATAAATAACACACACACTTAAAATCAATATTCATTTCTATACCCACCCCAAAATAAGTAGTTTGTCATAAGCTTTATACCAATCCATCTACCTATCTGCAGCAACAAAATTAATATACAATCATCAACCATATGTCCTATAATCCTAAGCTGTCTATAGGAACTCAGTGGTTCTCTACTAAGTATAGACCTGTACTATGTAAATATTCTTCATTCTTTTACATTACATGCAGTTTCCCTTCTTCCTAGTGGTGACGGGAACAGAAGAGTATGGTGAAAAGGAGTCTGTAACCACAGCAATTCCTCCATGCCTCTCTCTCTCCCCCCCCCCCGCTCTCTTGAACTGATCAACGAAGCCACAAAAGTCTGGCAACACTGTTGCAGGAAACCTCTTCCGGGTTTGAATGGTGATGCTATCATACATGGTTGATCAGTGAGAAGATGTTTTGAGTATTTATAGTGCCAAACTCATTTGCTTCCCCTATTTCTACTCCTCTTCCCAATTGGATGTTTTGGTTAGGGAGATAAGTTTGACGGGCTCCGGGCATGGAGAGGTTTTCACAGTGCGGAAGGCCAAGAGTGAGAGAGACACCATTGCCCGAATACGTTGCTGGGAATTGCTCAGCACTAAACCTTCCCATTTCCTCAATTGAGTATGACCCAAATCCTCCAATGAAGTTTGTTGGGGCTCCCATTAGTGTAAAACCCTCGGTGCTTTGCCTTTCATTGCCAAATTTCATGGACATGTGCTCGGTGTTTGTGTCCTCGGGCTTGGCATCCATGTTCACTGATGGAACATGACTAGGGGAATGTA